TCCTGCCCTCTCTGGGGTCTGTTGAGGGCCCAATCCACAGCAGCTTGGCAGTCGTTCCCTGGGCTTGCTGAAGTTTTCACTGTGGGCACACACACACAAGGCTCCCTAACCACTGACTAGGGCTTTCCAGTTTCTGTAGCCACCCTGCTTTCCAGAAGCCTTCCCACCTCTCCCAGATGCCTTAAAATTCTATTTAAACTGCCATGGGTCTCAGTACTACCATTAAAGCCATAGTCAAGCAAAAACCTGTGTCTGTGGTGGGGTCCATTTCAAATGTTTTCCTCTCTTAAGGCATCAAGGTCTTGGATTTCCTATGTTCTAATCTTCAAAAACATCTGCTTCAAATATTTTCGCCCATGTTGTAGCTGTTTATGACACAAGAGCAACCCTGACCCTTGTGACCGCAAGGGCACTGGAAACAAGTCTCCAACTCCTAAAGCTCTCATCGGTGCATCCTGCACGTTACTGACTGGTACAAGCCCTGGAGCCCTCATCTGAGTGTGGGGCACATCACTGGTACAAGCTCACGTCAGGAATTTGAGGCTTCCTGTTTATGACAGCCTGAGGATGCTTTGTTTACTTGGTACTAGGGGTCAAATCCAAGGCTGTGAACATGCTAGGCAAGTGCTCTTCCACTGAGCTGTTTCCAGCCTAAATCTTGTTTATTAAGATGTATTTGAGAGCTAATACTGGATGGGAGTGGAGAACATAATTTGTAAGAATCTGGGAAGTAACAGATGGTGCAAGGCAATGTTGCAGAGGACGGGAGAGTGCTACAAGTAAGTCTCGCTGGGCTGTTCTGAAATAAGCAAGTGTTTGCAGTTCAGGACATATCAGAACCTCATGGTTTTGAAACATACTTTAGTCACACGGTAAAGAAGTAAACAATGCAAAGACTGTCAAGCACAATACAGTCTTTCACATGTATTCCACCTTTGACAACTGGGTGCTCAGTGTTCAAGAACCACAAAATCTACTTCTCTAAATCAAGAAAAGCAATACGCCCTTGATTCATGGTAATACAGGTTTCTGCAGGCAGAGGAGGCATGATAATAGCGTTTTACAAGTAGATTATGATTGACAGTTTTATAAGTATGCTAAGCATACCATTGGGCTGTGGACTTTAACAAATGAGCTTTAATGGCTGTGAACTGCATCTTGGTAAAGATTTTTTCTTTAAAAAAAAAAAAAACAACCTTTATGTGACGTGGTTTTTATGTCATTACTTCACCACAACTTTACACAATGACTGTATCTTCTTCCGTGTCACTCTGCATTACTGTTACAGCAATGGGGTGCAGAGTGTCTAATTCCTGGTGACAACTGTGGCAGATAAATCGAAGTCTGAAAAGGCTGGGAGTATAGCCAACAGAAAGTGAGGATTATTGAACAGGAAGTGTAGAAAGGTAATTTTCAAGGTGTTCTCTGGAACCTGTCCTGTCAATGAACCATGTAGCATGAAGTTTTTGTTGTTTGGTTTGGTTTTTTTGTTTGTTTGCTTGTTTGTTTGTTTGGCATCTGTACCTTATGCACTGGAAGAGAGGTCTATTGCTAGAAAGGTGATTATTGTTAGTAATTAAAATTAAGCCGTAAGTTTTAGGCAAAGAAGCCCCATCTCCTGAGTGAGGAAGATTCAGCTCTTTTGCCATAAAGCTTAAACGAGTTCCTGTCAGCAAGACCCATGTTTGTACCTAACTTTAGACAATTATTTACATAATTGCCTCATTAATGATTCTAGTCAAGGCACATATACCAGCTTCTCAGGAGACTGAGACAGGAGGATGGCTTGATCCAGAAATTCTGGGCCAGCATGAACAGCATACTGAGATTCCATCTCCAAACGCCCCCAAATCTAGCCAGCTGTGCTGGGCACGTTTGTAGTCCTCACACACATGAGGCTTGGGGAGGAGGGTTCTGAGAGTTTTAGGCTAGCCCAGGCTACGTAGAAAGACCCTGTCAAAAAATTAATAATAAAATAAAAACAAAATACAAAATAAACAAACAAAACCCAACTCTGCTTAAAGTGGTCTAGAGCTCTGACTGTCTTTCTTTGCTTTTGTCATAAGGATGTGACATGGCTGACAGCATTTGCTAAGAGGAGATCACACAAGACAAAAGGAATCCTGGCACCTCCCTCTCTAGAACACCTCAGCTCTCTGTTGAATAAAGAATTCTACTCTGGGATTGAAGAGGAAAATTTCACCAGACCCCTCCCCTCCTGGAAAAGAAAGGTCATAGATCGCTTAAGCACCCCTCCTCTCCAGAAGACAGAGGCTAGTTAACATTCTTCAGACCACAGAGTTTGGAGACTGACCTGTGGGTGGGGAGGGGGCCCAGAGCACATGGACAATTGACCGTTGGCCACACACATACAAGGGAGATCCTTGCTGTCCCATTCCCTGAAGACCGATCAGTTTAAAAAGTCACTGTTCTGCCTACCACATTGTGCCTAATGGCTGCTACCCCTAGAGACTGTATAAATGCCCACAGAACAGGCTGTGCAGGGTCGCCTCTCCTTTTGATATGCAGGACGACCCCAGCATGCTGGAACATTAAAATTCCTCTTGCTTTTTGCAGCTGTCTCTCCATCTCTCGTCTCATCTCTGTGTGGTTCACTCAGGGGGTCTCTGGTAAACTAAGACTAGACTAGTCTAGCTTGCTAGACTCTTACAGGATCTCCAGTGTGTATTTACAAGTCATGTCACATTCTGTCAGTGAAACACTTTCTAAATATATAATACCCACCACACCCAACAGTCTTCAAGAGACAAAGCACTATGCTATAACTGCTAATCTGAGGCATAGAAGAGCTCTCTCTCTCTCTCTCTCTCTCTCTCTCTCTCTCTCTCTCTCTCTCTCTCTCATTTTGCTGCGTCTGACTTCATGCCCCATGCTCTGAGATTCTATTGTTTGTGTGAGGTGGATTGAGCAACAGTTCCTGGAAGCTGTCTCACACAGGTGACTGATGAGTCAAGGCTTGGTCATCTCGGTTGTCTCTACTCCTGTCTCTACAGCTGAAGCAGATTGTTTTCCTGATCCCCCCAGGACACGAGAGTTTAGGTTAGGGTAGATTTCTCAGGCATTATAAGCCCAAGTTAATACTTTCATGTTTTAAAATGTTTTCTTACAATTATTTATTCTGTATATATGGCTGTGTGTGCACCCACATGCATGCAATATAACAAGCATGTGTGTGGAGGTCAGAGGAAAACTCTCAGGGATGCCTTGCCCCTGGTTACTATGTGGATCCTACGGATGGAACTTGGGTCATTAGGCTTAGTGGCCAAGTGCCTTTACCTGCTGAACTGCCTTGCCAGCACTCATAGTTTGAACTTTATTACTGCTATTACACACAAAGACACGAGAAGAAACTCTAACAATTATTACTTTTATTTTTGGGGAAGCGTCTCACATCACTGCTGAAGAACATGAATTTTCAGGTAACAAGCTTAGTTTGTAACAGCCCTGGTGTTGATCAGCTGAGGATGTTTACACCACATATTTAAGCTCTCTCTTAGTCCATGTCTTTATAAATGTGCCACAGAGAAGGTGAACTTACTCAGAAGAAACGTCTAGCACCGTAACTATTGCTAAAGCTCAGCTCAAAAACTAATCTGTGCTAGGGCGTGGATTGTGAATTGGGTCCAAATTCTCATGTGAATATGGTGGCTCGGTCTCCAAGCTATAGAGCTATTAGGAAAGGGTGGGACTAGGGTCCAGCTGGAGGCGTAAGGTCACTGGGGGCTTGCTCTTCAAGGGATTTGAGGCCCTTGATTCCCCTTTTTCTCCCCATGATAGCTTTACTTCAGTGCACACTCCTTTCCTCAGTGCCCCACCTTGCCACAGGCCTAAAAGCAAAAGAACCATTCAGTCGTGGACTGAAGCCTCCGAGACCATGAACCAGACAAACTGATGAGCACAGTCTATCATCTGTATTGACATTTATTTTTTATTTCAGGCTATTATCAAACCAATTATTCAAGTAGGACATTACTTTCTCAAAGGTTCACTAGATAGAAAATATTCTAACGTTAATTAAATTATTTAAACTTTGTATTCACTTATTTATTTATTATGGTTTAATGAGATGGAGTCTTGCTATGTAGCCTAGATTTATAGTCTCAGTACTTCTGCTTCCTGAGTGATGGTATCACAGGTGTGTGTGACCATGTGTGAACATTTTTTCTTATCTTTTCTAGTAATATGTTGAGAACATCTAACTTGCACAATATGATCTAAAAAAAGAAATCAAACCATCCAGATTATGAAGAGCTGGTTATGCCTCTTTTAGATAATTCTATATCACTTAAATATTCTAAATAATGATTATTAACATAAGCTAGGTCCTATACATTGTATCAAAGCTGTGGTGGGGGAAGATGACTTCACTAAATGTTGAAAAGAGAAGAAAGAACTGAACCTTTGCTTCTCTTTCCAGACAAAAGTCTTTGTCACTGATTTAAATGCAACTCTTGCCACTAATTACAAAATTAATTCACAAAAGTGATGTCAGGAGTGTCCAGGAGATACAAACACTTGTTTTGTAACCTTTTGCTTATGAATTCCCCAAGATTAGAGTGGACAATGAACTGATTAGGACCTTTTTAGTCCATTTACAAAGTTAGGTGTCAGATCCATGTGGCGTCTAACATGAGGCCCGCTGTGGAGAGAGCAGACTGCACTCCATCATGGCTGCTTCTCCCAATGTGCTGCACTTGTAAAGCTCTCTGTGACAGAGTTGAATATTTCACTGGAGTGTCCCTTAGTTCTAAATGTGTCTTTCCTGTTCAACCTCAGCAGAACACTATGCCCTCAGTCAAATTTACATTTAATTAGGATAGGTATACTATGCTTATTGAGAGGATAAAATTGAACATTCATCCTCTGAAATCTGATGTTAGCTATGCATTGGGCCGATGAGTCTATTCCTCTCACAGTTTCCATTGCTAGACTCTACCACACAGCCACAACTTAAAAAGTGAGCCACACATTGATATTTTTGCAAGCATTCAAAGATTTTACTTGGGAGTTTTATTCTAACAAAGTCATTAGTTTGGATGACAATTTGAGAGCACCGAGACCTTGAGATGGAGTGTTCTTAAACTCTCTGGTATGTTCGGGTACAGGTGACATTATTCACTGCACTTTCCTAGGGGATAGAAGATGGAAATATTTCAGTAAAGCTGATCAAATTGACACCTAGAAAATATTAATTAAATACTGTCCACATATGACAATTCTGGTGAGTTTGGAAAAAGATCTTTATTAGATTATACAAAGACTGCTTATATACAGGTTATGCATATTGGGTCTATATATGTGGAGTTTGCAATTATATTTTCAGAGATAAGAAAAGAGAAGGAAATACAGTTTGGAATCTGAAGCTTTTATTTAAGTGGTTTTTTGTTTGTTTGTTTGTTTGGGTGCGTGGCCGGCTTTTTTTGTTTTTTGTTTTTGTTTGTTTTTGTTTTTTCGAGACAGGGTTTCTCTTTATAGCCCGGGCTGTCCTGGAACTCACTCTGTAGACCAGGCTGGCCTCGAACTCAGAGATCCGCCTGCCTCTGCCTCCCAAGTGCTGGGATTAAAGGTGTGCGCCACCACCGCCCGGCTTATTTAAGTATTTTAAGACTCTACATCGAAGCATCTTTGCAATCTTACATACTGCCTGGTTTTTAAATAAGTATACTAACTTACACAAATGTAACATTGCGTGGTTTTCAAAGAACAGGCAAGCTCACATGGTGTTCTGTTCTCTCAGGAAGCCTTCTGAGAAGGTACAGGAATCTGGAGTCATAGGGAGGTGAAATGACTTGCCCCAAGTTCTGATTTATGTGATAAAACCTTGGAGTCTAGCGTTCTTCTCAGTGAACTACACATTAGTTGTCACTATTGAACCATCATTTGTCCATTGGCTAATGTCATTATAAGAAGCTATAGACTCATTCTTAATCCTGCCCTTTCAGTAAAAGAATTAAATTTTTACAAATAAAAAATAATTCAACCTTCCTTAGAGAAAGAAAAATGTTGTGTCTTAAGAGTGAGGAGAGCACTCTTTGCTTTTCTCTGTGCAGAGTTGGCATTTTTCTGGTGAACTATGTCAGAGATTGCCAGAGATAGCTTTGTTTTTTTTTTTTTTTTTTCATTTTGGTGCTGGTAGAGTCTGGGATAATGATCAGTGCCTGGCTTCTGTCCCCTCTCTAGATGTGGTAAGGGTGACCTGGAAAGCTTTCCTGAGGGGAGGAGAAGGGATTAAAAAGGCAGCAGGGGTGGGGATGGGTGGGGTAGGGAGGGGTGGGAGGGGCAGGGAGGGTGGAGTAGGGTGGGTGGGGTGGGGGCGGTAAATTGGCATTCAGTGACTGAGCTGTAATCCCAACACTCCACACTTTCTAGCTTTCTCTGTATAAGTAAGTCAGTGTATGAATCTGTTTCCTGGACTCTTAGATGTGTACGTTACCTCAGGGGATTAGCATGAGGGTTACGTCAATAATAACATGGGATTGTGCAGAGACACATCCTTGTTCTTACTTGCTTGCACTCATCCATACACTGAGAACCACCTAAACACTTGGACTTCTCACCTCTCTAACTTAAAACTTTCTTTTCTGCGCAATGACAATTTCAGAGTAACAACCTTCCGTAAGCGTTGAAACCCTGATTGCAGAACTCTGCTCGCTTTCATTCACTCGAGGTCAGGGAACACACTAGTTGTTAAATTCTTTTTAGAGCTTCAACTTCTCAACCCATACGCGTTTCAAATTCTTACAAAGATATGGTTATCTGTGAATGTTTCCTTCCAACTCTTGTAAGAGAGGAGAAGCCAGGCTTGTTTGTCTGGCTTGAGGGCAGGTGCAGGGGTGCTTTTCTGGTAGATGTTTCAGGAGTCAAGGAAAGGCCAGAGCACTCACCACCACCATTTTCCCATCCACCAGCCTCCTGCGGATTGTGGCTTCCTTGCCATCCCAGTCCTGAACTTGAACCAAGGAGTCGTTATCTAAGATTACTGTACTCTGTAAAACAGAACCGAAGTTAGGTTGTCACATACAGCAGATGTCTTAGAAGTGCTACATTCCAAGGTGGATTTAAGATGCATTTACAACTTTTTGTTTTGTTTTGTTTCAAAACCTTCCCAGAAGCACTTCAGTTGGATGATTCTTCTGGGGAGAGGAAGGTTTATAAGAATAAGAAGTGAAATTTTATCTTTTATAGTCTAGAGAAGGTCTTATTCTTATGGATTGCAAGTAAGTGTCCATTTCAACAACGTGAGACTAATTCACCGACCCAGTGATGCTTAAGGGAGAAATGCCCCCTCTCTTGTTCCTCCCGACAGACAGCAGTCCCTAGGGTTGTGTTGTCTGTGCTAGCTGCTCTTGCTTCTTTAGTTTCTCTTTACAACCTTATCTGAGATGCCTTTATTGTTTCCGTCAAACTCCTTCCACTTTACATGTACTGGCATTTGAAGTCTCATGTTTATTAAACCTCTGTCAAAAGGGCATAATAATTCGTTTTATCAGAATATTATCCTTAGCAGAGATCAACTGAGGTCATTAACTAAAAAACAAAAAGAATTTGTTGATGAACCATTATATAGCAACCACTGGGTGCTGGGCAATAGATGACCAGCTCCTCTGTGAGATGTACAATCTGCTCTGCGGAAACTGATAACACAATAAATAAAACACAGGTAACATATAGATTATAAATAAATGCTGCATTTCAATTGGAGGTATGAGGTACAAGGAAAAATTATGTGTGTCACGTTCTGGCTATAAATGAAGAGTCTGGAGTCTCTTTCTTTACCTTGTTCACTTAGGAGACCATGCTTGTAATGGTGTGGTTGCAAGAACAAAGTGTTTAAACCTCCTTTAGCCTGGGTCCCTGGAGAGTAAAAGCCACAAAACACACTCACAAAATCTCTCCCTCTCTCTCTCTCTCTCTCTCTCTCTCTCTCTCTCTCTCTCTCACACACACACACACACACACACACACACACACACACACAACCTCCTCATCTCCATCCCAACACTTCATATCCATCCTGAGTTACCAATGATTCTCATTGGTTTTAGCCATTAAGAACCTTAGGCTCATTTGTTAAAGGGCCATCACTTCATCGATATCAGCTAATACAAATCGTGTTCGTTGTACAATTCCGTGTGCGAAACCCACAGGATGACAGGGAGCACTTTTGTTGCCAAGAGGGTTCATTACCAGTTTGGGTAGGTTGCTCTCCAAATGTGGAGCAGCAGTGCCAGACTCAGAGACTTGTGTGCATTCTCAGGAGGATTTCATTTTCCCACACAGGGGCAAATGTACTGGCCAACTTCACAGGGCCTAGAGTCACCTAGGAAGAATCTTAAGGGGAAATTGTCTCGATCAGGTTGGCCTGTTGTATGTCTGGGATGTTAACATGATGGTTAACTGATATAGGAAGCTCCAGCTTCCCCATCCTTCCTTGTATGGTACCAGCCTCATTCTCAATGCTGAGAGACACCTGGGTGGGGGAGGCTGAATGGTACAAGGAAGAAGACACCCTACTGCAGAAGAAAGCAGGTAAGGGTCTGTTTGTTTTCTCTCTGCTCTTGATTGTGGCTGTGATGTGACCAGCTGTTTGACTTGCTGCCTTGCCGTCCCTGAAACGATGGACCATCGCCTGGAATTGTAAAATAAGCCCTTTCCTCTCTCAGTTTCTTCCTGTCAGAATGTTTAGCTCATTGGTAGAAATGAAACTAGAACAAGTAATAAAATAAATCTCACACTTTCAAGGGATAAAATGCAAGAATCCAAAGGAATCATAATGTATATTTGCTTTCAAGATCTTCAGACTTAGTGTCTAGGCAAAGGTTTGTCTAGAAGACTCTTGAAGTGCATGTTGGCTGCTGCCTCCTAATACAGCATCTCCAGGTAGTACCCATATGCAAGCTCTCTGAAGCTCCCTGAAGGTGTACGCCTCACCTTGCTTTTGCGGCCACCTGGTGTGATTTCCTCAAATTCCTCTCCCAGCTTGAAGGAAATCTCCTTGTTTTTAAAGATGCTTTTGGTTTTGATGGTGATCAGATCTCCATCTGTGCTGATGGTCACCGTGGGCTTTGCCAGACAGCCCAGTTTCCTGCTGGCTCTTCCTACTCCTGGGAGGAAGACAATAGACAAGTAGTTACTCTGTTGTTGGTTTCAAAGACTCCTTCTATTTGCACAATTCTTTCCCAAGGAGGAGGTTTCTGCAGTAGGCAGGTTTCATGCTATATGAATTCAAATATCTATTTTTCTGGTTTTTACTTATTTGTGTGTGGTGTGTGTGTACATATGTTTGGGTTGCCAGCAGCCATCAGAAGAGAGAAAACAAAAGTCCCTAAACATTAGAGCCAGGGTCTGTAAAAAACAGTTACTATTTTAAAATATGCCTTTATCATAAGTTATTTATTAAAATAGTTTTTTGTTTAATAAATGGTCTATATGCATTTAGTTTCTGTGGGACCATGGAGATAATACTAACCTCAATCTAGTTTATACAGAACTACATTTTGGTGGTGAATCAAAAGTTTTTTTTCTATGTGAAAAATTAAGGGACCAGATGAATTTCATTTCACACATATGTCATATGTCTCCAAAGTATCTTCTGTGCTAGATATAATATAAAGATAAACATGACTCATGCTGGGTATAATGTACACATGAACATGGCTCATGCTGGGTATAATGTACACATAAAACATGGCTTACCCAATTCCTTCATGTAGTTTTCAAAGTTTTCACAGGAAACAGATTTCCATGTTCCTTGAAGGTGGTCCACCATTGCGTCTCACTGAAAACTGCTTCATATGGATGTGTGCACTGGTGTTCCCTGAAATGGGTTTGGAACATGTTTTCCATACAACTCTGAATACAGAAAACAGTAAGAAGACTAGGAGGGAAATTATCTTATACCACAAGACTCTTGTGCCCAGGTCTTCATCTCTCCAGAGGTGATTTGTAAAAAGTCACCAGGCTGGCTGACTAGTGGTTTTATATTCTTTCATATTCTTCTTGATACTTTGAACTAAAAGCCAGAGAGTATGCATACATAATACCTAATATGTGAAATTTTTGTAGTCAGGGGCCAGGCAGTGATGGCAAACATCTTTAGTCCCACCACTTGGGAAGTACAGGCAAGAAGATCTCTGAGTTTCAGGACAGCCAGGGCTATACAGAGAAACCCTGTCTTTAAAACCCTTCAAAAAAAAAGTAGTCAGGGTCAGAGCCACCATTGTGTCCTGCTGAGCAAAGCACTAACAAACGTGATAGAAAAGAGACTGCTTCCATCAGCTGGTCTTGCTCTGATAGCACCAGACAAATACGCTCCTTAGTTTAGAGAAGCGTCTCCTGTTTTCAACCTTGTCTGTAACACTCTGCTATCTACAAGTACTTGCACTGGTTCAAAATATGTGACCAGAAGTAGGGCAGGAGATACAGCAACTAGAGAGCAGGACTCCAAACAGCAATGTGAAGGACAAACTCATCCTTCTGTGCCACCAGCCTCTGTGGAGTTCCTGGTGGGCTCTAAGCAGTGCTTGTCGGCTAGTGTTGGAGTATGGCCATTAAGAAACATGGCTGTTACAAAATTCCTTAAAACAGGAAAGGTGCCACAGCTTCTGTTATTCCCATTAAAATGTTCAGTTTCCAAAACCTTCATCAACTGTGGAGACAATTAACCAGGTCAACTGTTTTCTAACAATTATTCAACAAACCTAAATGGAGCAACTAGTGTTAAATGCCTAAGGAGACCAAGATACTTTCTGTACACTACTGACTAAATATCCCAGGTAGCGAGGTAAGAGACAGTAATATTTTGGTTCTTCTTTCTGAAGCTAGACAACCTGATATCATGGTTTATTTATGTTAATGTGTAAATATTGTAAGTTTATGTCCACTCCATATAGTACCCATGAGTAAGAAATGACCTGGTGGTTCTCAAATAGAAGGCATTAAAATTCCCATAAAGAACATGCTACTACCCATGTTAGGTGCATATTGTCCCTCCACCATAAGGACATAGCTCCTTGTGTGCTGAAACCTCCCTGAACAAGACACCACAGGGGAATGATGCTGCTTTGTGGCTGATAACTGAGGCTTTCAGAAGACAACCATGATACAGAGTTCAGGCTAACTTCTGTCTCTAGCATCTGACTCCTCTATTCATGAAGCAGCACCTCAAGTTCAAGCAGGAGCTAACCCTCACAGGCAAGGTTGTTTAGTTGCTTGGTTGTTGAAGAGATGGATGCTTTCTGATGTTCATTAACAAGAGTCAAACAGTCATGCCTGTTTGCAAATCTCCAGTTCATTCTAGAAGATTCCCAAATAGCCTATGCTATTATTCTACGTGGTACTGTATCCGTATTGCTGTCCCAAGCCACAGCTCCTTCCACATGATAAACCACTTTGTCCATGGAAACAATTTCCCTCCCTACTTCTTAAGACCTTCTCCATTGCTAAAGTAATAAACTATTGACCATTACAACTCACTCCAACACTGAGCTGACTAACACATAAAGTATGTTCACACACACACAGCCTTTAATTGGCTTATACCTGTCTCCATATTTTCCTAGCTACCATCTGAGGGCGGGGGCTTCTGGTATTGAGATAGATGACAGAGGAGTCTGGGCTACTTGTTTATGAGATTACCTTGTGACTTTTGGAGTTACTAAGCTTGATCTCAGATGCACAGTTGACTTATGGTGGACTGCAGCACGGGTAACTCTTATGGTGAACTACTGCTGGGACCGGGTGGGGTGGTGACTCTGTGCATCTAGAGAACCCAGTTCATAATGGACAGTTCCATCCCTGTTGACTCCTCTACTTCAGAATTCCATTGCTATTTGGCTGTAATACAAGAATATTTTTTATTAAAATGCACATATGTCTCTCTTGCTATTGTGTGTCCTTGCCTTAAAACATCAGAAGTCTACCTTGTAATGTCCCATATACACACTGGACAATACTGGTCTGTTTGTTTGTTTGTTTGTTTGTTTGTTTGTTTTGTCACTATAATCCAGCATCAGAGGGATTGTTAATCATGGCTCAAGTTGTTACTGTATCTCCAACTTTCTGCAGGTTGTCTTCATGAATGCTGCTCCACTCAAAGCAAGAAGACTTTCATCTGCAACATAGTCTGGGGAATATTATTTGATTGTATCAATACCTTGAACCAAAAGTTTTTATGGATATGTTAGTAGTAGAGACAAAATACAGTAAATTATATTTTGGACACATGACCTTAAGTGGCCTTGACTAAGCTTGACATCTCAGTCTACAAAAGTAGAAGTAGCCTCGATAATGACCATTTTAACTCTCTCTGTGTGTGTGTCCATGCGTGGCTATGTGCACATAAGTGCAGGTGCCCTCTGAAGACAGAGTTGCTGAGTCTATCTGGAGGCTGAGTGGTTGTGAGCTACCTGGCATAGGTGCTAGGAACCAAAGTCAGATCCTTTAACCACTGGGCCACCTCTCAAGCCTCAGAATTATGTTTGATGTTTGTTTTTCTTTGATGAGGATTTGCTTTTGGTTTTGTTTGATACATAGTCTCACAATATAACCCTGATGGTCTGAAAACACCTATGTAGACCAGACAGGCCTTGAATGCACAGAAATCCCACTGGGATTCAAGGACATGCCACCACACCCAGATCATCACCAATGTTAACCCTCACACTCTGAACTTCACATGTCTTACCAATGCCTTCAGCATGTTAGTTTCTTCTTTCTCATTTCTATATTTGAAGCATGAGTTCATTCAACAAAAAGTTGCATTTGGATTCTTTCTTTTAAACATTTATGAGATGGAATTAAGAGCAGAATACCAGTTTATTATATTCCAGAGGATGTAAGACTCCCAAGCCATATACATTTTCAGACACAATAAATAACATCAAAACTGTACAGGAGCAGGGAGGAAAAAGAATTAGAGAAAAATATAATTTTCTTCCTCTTGCTGGGAGCAGATGTCAATTTAGTAAGACAAGGATCTCATGTACTACCTGCAGGGTCTATCAGCAGTGAGTGGTATTTGGAAAATTACGATTATTTATTCTACATCAGATTTCTACATTTTCACTTCCATTTCTATAAAAATGTATGGCTGTTCTTTAAATAGTATGTGGGATATAATTACATCATTTCCCTCTTCCTTTTCCTCTTTTCAAACCTTCTTATGCTCCCTCCCTTCCTCTTCATTCGTTCACTGTTGTAACAAATGTATGTGTTCATGTTCCTAAGTACATAAATGTCGCCCGCTCAGTCTACATGACGATACGTGTGAAGGTTTTCTAGGCTGCCCTTGCCTGTTGCTATAAGATAACCAATTGGTGCGTTCTTCCCTAGGGAGGATGTCTCCTCCCTTCAGCATTCCTTACGTGTCTATAATTTTTATGTGAAGGGTTGAGGCCTCACAAGCTTTCCCCCATTCATGTTAGCTAGTTTATTCTTGTTGTGCTTGTTCAGGTCCTGTTTAGACAGCCATGTTGGTGAGACTATGGGTGTAACTTCTGCCATTTCTCAGAGACACCATCTCATAGCAAATCCTCTGCTCCTCCAGCTCCTCCAGTCTTTCTTCCCCTTCCACAGTGACCCCTGAGCTGTAGGAGAGGAGTTGTGTGGCTTACTTATCAGTTGGGACTGGACTCCACAACTCTGCATTTTGGTTGGTTACGGGTTTCTGCAATGCTCTGCATCTATTTGTTGCAAAGAGAAGTTTCCTTGGTGAGAGGTAAGGACTACATTTAATCTATGGCGATAGGGACAAATATTTAGAATGTAGTTAGGGATTGTGCTGGTTACATGTAAAGTGGCGATTATAAGTTCTCCTCCAAGATCCATGACTTCAAAACCCTCGGTGGTTGGCTAGGTTTCCAGTGCCAGCCATGATCTGTCTCTGCCTGAATAAACCTAACTAGAGAGCTGTTGGTTACTGCAGAGGTATGTGGGCCAGTAGAATTATCATGCTGTGCTGCTACATGTGGTTTGTAGGCATCCTAACTAGGTAGGAGTGTTGGTTGCTTCCTTCCTTAGGAAGCTTGCATGGCACCCTCTGTTACCATGAAAGCTAGTGCTTGGGGAGGAAGCTTTCAAGTCAGTTCCACCTCAGGGGCTTACATTTGATGTATATGGTGTCTTCAGAAAACCTTCCACATCTGGAGGAAGCCAAGGGAAATAGCAACAACTTGAAATGTTTGGGGAAACTTTGTACAACCGTAACAAACAACTCAAAGAGGGGGCTTCTCAAGTTTGGTATTAGGGATTTTGTTAAATGATCTACGGTCCTTGTGGGACCAGATTAAGTAGGTATTTTTAAGAAGATGCTGGCAAACTGAACCATGTGAAATCCACCCGATAAAATAAGCCTGTGGATGCTGGTAAATCATATTGGGCTGTGATTTCATTCTGTCACAGGCTGTCTGCTAATACAGGCTGACACTGGAATTGGCTGCCTGGTGCTCTGTGCCTCCAGGAAATCACAGACAAAGCACAGGGATGTGGAGGCTCCTGCTGGGATAAACAAAGGACTAGATCTCTGAGCCTGAGGCTTGGGATTCAGATCTGTTGGGCTTCATGCTTTGCTGCCCTGGGTTCCTGGAGCAGAAGCTCCTGGAACCTTCTGCTCCAGGAACCCAGCTGCTACCTAAGCACACGCCACAGGCCTTCACCAAGTGACTCCTCATCAGCTACTGTGGAATAGCAGTGGATCTAGGGGTTCCCCAGCATGGCCTGCATTAATGAACGTGCCAACACTCTAAGCCACCCTGTCTTCTTAATCATAACTTAGGGTAGGCTTGGGAATGCACATTATACTTCTAGAGTTTCTCCCAGATATGTCTCTAGTGTCTCT